ACAACAAAAAAAAAGTATTACATAACTCATTTTAGATACAATTTATGTGTTTTTTATTACGTACGGCGACATTGTATTTTCCCTCCGACATGTACATGTACTATTCCATTCATTTTACAGGTATGACATCTCTCTAGCAGACGACACGTAAAATTGGAAACAATATGGCATTTTTTCATAGCTTATTGTAATAGTTTTTATTTGTTTGGGTCGTCAGACCAAACAAATAATGGTAGCGAAATTTCAGAGTCTGATGCTGTTAATTGCAAATGCCGAAAATAGGCCGCTTTTTTGAAGCGGTTACTTCCCTTTATATGTACACTAACGCCGAAAAAAATCAGGGGAGATCACTGCGTAAAGGTTGTCAAATGACGGGCGCATTCATTTTCAAGCAAAATAATTCCCGAATGGTCGAAGATATTGAAATATTAGAAATATTGTTTTATCCTTTATAGATATACATGCTTATAATAAGCTCCATGATTATTAACATCTGTGTTAAACAACAGTTAGCGTCGAAATAATAAGAGTTACAAACCCTAATTTAGAATAATATTATGGTTTTCTTCAGGCCTTTTACATATAACTTCACCGTGGCCGAGGGGTCTGGAGTTCAAATCCAGGAAGGCAACTCTTTTTTTTCAAATTGTTTAAATCAAATAAACATTGAATTGAATATCAGTGTTGCAATTAGTCTTAAAGCCAATTAACTACAATTAAAACGCTGGAAAGCACTGGTGGCACTATACAAAAACAAATTGGTTTATAATCTCACAACCTTCACCTTTCTGACATTCTGAGACCCAAACAAATTCAGCGCCTTCTGTGCTTTGATTATATACACTTGTTGATCTGGCAGTTGTATCACCAGTAGTGCTTGGACTGATTTCAAAGAGATTGGATCTTATGCATTACAGAGTTATGGCCCTTTCAAGGCCTAAATAGGCAACTTTATGACACAAGTTCTGTGCAAATCAAATATAAGATATTACTGCTATCATGAAGAAAAAGCAAAAATATGCCTATCTTGGCCCAGGGGCCACAACTCTGTTATGCAAGATAGGGTCAGACCACTAATGAAATTGAATCCCTGATCCACTGGTGAAGTAAATTGTGTGAATCTGTAGTTTATAAATTATACCAACAAGCGTGACATTATCCAAAAATGCGCCCGTCACAAAAGATTTATGTGGAGATGTGGGCAATAAGAAGTGTGGCAAGCAGGCTGGTCCCTGTACATATTTTTATATGAAATTCTACCTCAATGTCTGACATTAACCTTGGACCTGAATTTTATGCGCGACGCTTAAATGATGAAAATTTGTGCTAAATTATATTGAAATCCCTCTTTGCATGTACGAGATATGCTCTGTACAAAATTTACGCCGGCCCTCCCACAAGGGGCTTTCCCACAATACATTCATTTTTTCAAACGGGCGTATATAAATGGAACTCCTATGATGCCATTGGTTCAAACATTCTATCTCTAGCAAGTGTTGCTCCCGACAAACATTTTCCAATGAATTTTAAGTGTGACCTTGACCTATGACTGAGAGACCTTGTCCATGTGTGCAACACAGTTTCTCATGGTGAAGAACATTTGTATGAAGTTTCAATAAAATCCCTCTATAAATGGAGGAAATATGCTCTGGACAAAATTGACGCCTCTCCTCCCGCCAGGAGCATTCCCATAATCCTTCCCGTTTTAACAGGCATATAAGAATGGAACTCATGCCTATGGTTCAAACATTCTATCTATATATAAAATTCAGTGTAGAAAAAATTAAAAACAGTATAAACATCTTGTTTCTATTTATAGTTTATTAGTCATTATTCAAGAATCATTTACAAGAATCATTTAATCTCTATAATATATCAAAACAATCAATATAATTTACATAACAATTATAACATGAAATATTCTAAATTAACACATGGCAGCTTTTTACACTTGCATACTTTCATAATGTAAAAGGAAAATCAAATTGTTTAAGGACTGCCAGCCTCAGAAATATTTCACCTTGTCAAAAGTAGTGCACATTAATTCGATTTTATTAAAGGAAAGCTGCTGAGGTCCAAAAGCCTAAAACATGAAATTTGAATTTCTTACAAAGTACAACTGGGCCACATGAAACAGAAAGATATGTAAAAGAAAATTAAAAAAAATATTGTCAGAAAAAAACTGAAAATTGTACTTTTGTGTTATTCTTAGCCTGATGTTTTCAGTTTTGGTTCATTTTTCACAATTACAATTCTAATAAATCATAGTGATTCTATAATTTATAGATATTTGTAAAGTATTTAAGACTCCAAAAATTCAATATTCAAATGAATGTAGTACTAGTATCTTTTATTCTTGAACATTGTCTAGGATTTATAAATAAATGGTGTCAGCATTCTATTGGCTAATTGCTCATTGCCAAGCTGTTGGCCATTAAATAATACGTAAGTTACTCACTATAATTTCTTAACCCTTAACCAGCTGGAACTGTTAAAGACTTTGCCGCCTGTATACAGCTGGGCCAGACCGCACACCCCTTGCAGTCTTGGCTGGTTCAACACAGTAAGTACCTCAATTTTTAAACTTCCATATTGAAATCCCATAAACTTCAAATGGACCATTCCAAATTCAAAGCTGGGCAAATCCATTAGACAAGTTCAGCAGGTTAAGGTAATATATTAATATATCAATACAGTACTAACAAAGAGTAAAAATGTCGCTCAAAAATGCTCATCCTATATTTACAGTTCAAGCAAGAGTAGAAGTTTTCGATAAACATGTATTACAAAAATTAGGATGCTTTAATAGCCTGTTATTAAATATGTCAACCTAAAATTTAGAATTACTGGCATTGTAAAAATTATAAGATTCATATAATACATATATCTAATACACTGTCAATGAAACCTTACACATAAGCATATTTTATTATGCTTTGTACTGTTAAAGGGTATTATAAAGCTATATCTCATAAAATATCTTAATAAATATCAAGAAAAGCAATTTTGTATTGTTTCCATAATTGAATGGTTGATTCTCGAAAGATTTGTTTCATAGAATGTCTCTGTTATTTAACAAACATGAATATTGCATGTAAACAGAATAAAATGTTATGTAACAAAATACATGCATTATGCTGTATTTTTTTTGAGGATTTTACTGTTTAGCAACAGTTTTGTGCATGCACCATTTGCTCTTAATGAAAATTTAAAACATATTTCTTTCATGCAGGTATTTTTTAATTATTATTTTTCAAAAACGAAATAATTTTTTTTTTGCAAGCTACAGACAGCAGAAATATAGCATATTATACACTTTAATTTAAATGAGAAGGTTTAAAATATTTTATTGTCAATTCCTATGCTACAAAACAACAAAACAGGTAAAATTAGGCAATTAATTCGGTTATAATCCATATTTCTTAAATAAATCAGATTTATTATAACTTGTTGCAAAGTATCATATAAAACAGTAAATATTACTGTTTTAAAATGTCAACATCAAGTGAGGCACAAATATCTGGTTAAATACATATTAAACATAATTTATAATCATTCAATATAGCACAAAGTTTTTGTTTTAAAGATATACTATGCTCATCCTTGAGTGGAATATATTAGCAGAAATTTATTGAAATCTATAAAATTCTTACTGAATATGTCTATTTTGAATAAAAAATTATGAATAAACTATGTATGGGAAGCTGCGTTGCCTATTACGAGACAAGTAAAGTTTGTCCTTCCTAAAAAATAAACTGCTTTCTTTTAATGACACTATATATTCATATTGTGACCACCTATAGCTTATATAGTTTTAAACGAAGTCAAAACATATTTATTTTATTTTTAAAACTAGAAATGTGTCTTCATGCCACGGATGCCCCAGCATGCACCCACATTTCAGATATTATAATATTAAGTTCCAAATTTGTTTTGAAAACTGTTTTTTTTTCTTTTAAGTTCAAAATTAAGCCCTTAAAACTATTATATGTTAACACAAACCATTTTTATTTTTTTATACAAAGTTCAAGGAACTGACACTATCCAGTGTTAACTTTTTGTAAATTGCATATTGCATATCTGTAGCCAAAATAATGACTACATACATTTCCACAAAAGTATGAGTGCTGAAACTGAAAATTCAAAATTTTTCCAACATTCAAGGGAGATAACTTTGTCCAAAATCATTGAACCATGACCAAATTCAAACTTGAACTGCTTATTCCTAAGACGTATCTATACGTCAAATTTGAGTTGAATGTGTACAACCATTGGGGAGATAATGAACAGAAGCTAAAAATTTCTGACTTTTTGCAAAGTTCATGAGGATAACTCTGTCAGCTATCATCAAACCATGACCAAATTCGAACTTGACAAGTGTATTCTTATGACATACCCATATCTTAAATTTGAGTTAAATATGTACAACTGTTAGGGAGATAATGAACAGAAATTGTAAATTTCCTTTTTTTTTTCAAAGTTAAAGGGGCATTACTCTGCCAAAAATCATCGGACCATGACCAAATTCGAACTTGACCTGTATATTCCTATGATATATTCATATGTCAATTTTGAGTTGAATGTGTGCAACCGTTACTAAGATAATGAACAGAAACTGATGATGACGGAATGACGGTACAGGGTAACACTATATGCCCCAGCCATTTTATGGCGGGGGCATAAAGAGACTGTGTAGCAATTAATATCAATATTTTTTAATATCAAGTTTAAGCATAGTATATCTTTAAACATATATACAATGTTTAACTTAATTCATCTTGCCATTAATTTTACCATAACCTGTTGAATTTCTGTAATTGAATTTGCCCAGCTTTGACTTTGGAGCAATCCATTCAAAGTTTAAGGGGTTTCAATATCAAAACATAAAATTTTAGCTACTAACACAGCCTAGTCAGACTAGTCTTCTCCCCATTATTATCAGTAATATTCTGTAGAAAATCTTCTAAAAATTCCAGTGGTACTGAGATGCAGTTTGCCTATATCACATGACTTGTATGCTCATTTATTGTAATTTTGCAAAATAAAATGTAATTAAAATTGACATATATATATTTTGGCTGTTTTTGTTGGTGTTGTTTTTTTTTTGCAACTAAAATTTGACTTTATTAAGTTGAAGGCTTAGAATAAAATATCACATTACTATCTTAAGATAATTAATTATATCTTACATAGATTATAAACAAATTTGTCCTGAAAAATGGCAAAAAGTTAAAAAAAATTCTTCAAGAGAAAAAATTCACCCACAATGAGACAAAAAATGTTCACCTAACACAGATCTTAGTTATGTATATCTGCAAGTTACACTGAATGATTGAGCAATTATACATGATGGATGAATATATAACATGGAGCCTTTAAAATATTTCACTCTTGACACTTCCTCACATTACATGTATGTTAATCATAGACTTACAAAATACAGTTAAACTTTGTTTACTCAAACATGGGAAGGCCTGTGCAAATTTATTCAAGTGATCGATGTTCGGCAGAACAATATATATAGTAAAGGAATTTTGCCAGGGCTGGTTGGTGAGTTCGGGCGAAAAGAGGTATTCCAGAGATCTGAGTTCAAATGAACAAAGTTTAACTGTAAACTCAAATGCAAGTTTTGCAGATAAATTTATGTTACAATAACCTTACTCTATTACAGCAGATAATCATTTCCCTAAAGTGACTGAATTGATAAATCCAGTACTTCATGCTATTTTAATTAACTATAATGCAAAATAACCCTTATTGACCAAAATGCATGATATTCTAGATAAAAACTAGAAATATGTCTATAGCCTAGGACATGGATGTCCCCCACATTCCACTGTATTGTCAGTCTACTGACAAACAGCATGACAACCAAATCTATAAGCCCAAATGGAGGGCATAAAAAAACCTCAATTTTTATGAAGTGGAATGATCATTTCCTTAATGTTGTGATTAAACAAGCTGTAAGAAATGACCCTTATTTACCAAAAATCAAGATTGAAAACATCATGTTCACCATCCATTTACCCATCTGTTCACACATATTGCACTAGTTTATATACTACATGATCACCACTCTCGTGAAGTGTCCTGCGATCGCACAGTGGATACACATATATGTAGAAAATTATCAGGATAACTAAAATGTTCTGACAACCACAATAATGGAGTGTCTAAAGGTACTTCTATGCCCTGGATTAAAATTTTTTGGTCTTTGCTTTCCCCTGCAAAATATGTACAAAGTTTTAGTTAGATCTGTAGAAGGTGACTATAAACAAAGACTTTTCATTGATGCATGTTTTTATTGTTTACATTTACTATTTAATTATTATCATAACTAATATATGACTATAAAAGCTCATGTAGTATACTAACTTTCTATTTCTTTTTAAACAATTTTAATTTAAGCTTTATTTATGTATACAAACCTAAAGAATTGTGCTCTCCATGTCTTAGCTTAATCGAAAACAATTATTACCAAGAGTTTCCATCAATACATGTTTTTTAATGCTCGCAATAACAACAGCTGTCACGGGAGTGTCAAATATGACACAGGATACAGATATTGTGTAGTGCAATTTATCATTAATTTTTCAGTAAAGTTTTGAAATAGTCATTTGAAACAAGAACCGGTTGAACCGGGTGATGCTCCCCGAGAAGGTTCTGGACACAGGGAAGTATAAAAAAAATGAACAAAGGGCAAAAACTCCAAAATTAGGCAAAGCGGAGTTATGTTTTTTTGCACTGCACTTCTATTCAATGAGATCTATCTATCTATAAAGTTTCCTGATGATATCAGAGTTATGTCCCGGGTAAAAGTCAAAGTGTAAAAATGAACAAAGGGCAATAACTCCAAAATTAGACCAGGCTTTGTTTAGGTTCTTTAAGCATTGCAGTTCTATCCAATTATATCTAGCTACCTACAAAGTTTCATGTTGATATCTCTAATAGTTTTAAAGTAATGTCCAGGACAAAAGTCAAAAAGTAAAAATAAACAAAGGGCAATTTCTTCAAAATAAGGCAAGGCAGAGTAATGATTCTTAAGCACTGCACTTCCACCCAATGAGACCTATCTATCTACAAAGTTTCATGCTGATATCTCTTATAATTTTAGAGTAATGTCCCAGACAAAGTTCAAAGTGTCAAAATGAACAAAGGGCAATAACTCCAAAAGTAGGCAAGACAGTGTTACAGTTCTTGTGCACTGCAAACTTACTCAATGAGATCTATCTACCTACAAAGTTTCATGTTCATATCTCTTATACATTAAGAGTTATGTCCCGGACAAAGCTCAAAGTGTAAAAAAAAACAAAGGGGGATAATTCAAGAATTAGGCAAGGCAGAGTTAAGGTTCTTATTCACTGCACACCTACTCAATGAGATCTATCTACCTACAAAATTTCATGTTGATACCTCTTATACTTTTAGAGTTATGTCCCGGACAAAGTTCAAAGTGTAAAATAAACAAAGGGGGATAATTAAAAAATTAGACAAGGCAGAGTTACGGTTTTTATGCACTGCACACCTACTCAATGAGATCTATCTACCTACAAAGTTTCATGTTGATACCTCTTATACTTTTAGAGTTATGTCCCGGACAAAGTTCAAAGTGTAAAATAAACAAAGGGGAATAATTCAAAAATTAGGCAAGGCAGAGTTACGGTTCTTGTGCACTGCACACCTACTCAATGAGATCTATCTAACTACAAAGTTTCATGTTGATACCTCTTATACTTTTAGAGTTATGTCCCGGACAAAGTTCAAAGTGTAAAATAAACAAAGGGGATAATTCACAAATTAGGCAAGGCAGAGTTACGGTTCTTGTGCACTGCACACCTACTCAATGAGATCTATCTACCTACAAAGTTTCATGTTGATATCTCTTATACTTTTAGAGTTATGTCCCGGACAAATTTCAAAGTGTAAAATAAACAAAGGGGGGTAATTCAAAAATTAGGCAAGGCAGAGTTACGGTTCTTGTGCACTGCACACCTACTCAATGAGATCTATCTACCTACAAAGTTTCATGTTGATATCTCTTATACTTTTAGAGTTATGTCCCGGACAAAGTTCAAAGTGTAAAATAAACAAAGGGGGATAATTCAAAAATTAGGCAAGGCAGAGTTACGGTTCTTGTGCACTGCACACCTACTCAATGAGATCTATCTACCTACAAAGTTTCATGTTGATACCTCTTGTTGTTTCAAAGTTATGTCCCGGACAAGAAAAGGGGACGGACGGACGGAAAGAAAGACGGACGGACGGACAAGGCGGCGACTATATGCTCCCCCGAAATTTTTTCGGGGAGCATAAAAAGAAAAATATTTAGTGCAGACATAAAACATACAAATTTTGACCTTAAAGGGTGTCCTTGGTCTTGACTCTGCACAATGGCAGCTTAGTTTATGCACATTTCTTTGCTGAGTGGACATTTGACCCAAGATTGAAGGAAATGCCTCAAGGGCTATATGATTTAAAGAGAGAACACAAACTTGTCTGATATTTGACCTTCAAGGGTAACATTGACCTAGAGTCTGCACAATCATGGCATGAGCTCTGCACATTGCCTTGTTGAGGTTAACATTTGTGTCATGTTTGAAGAAAATCCTTCAAGGGGTATATGATTTATATAGCACACACAATATTTTTTGAAGTTTGACCTCCTTGAGTGACCTTGACCTGAAGCCAGCACAGCTGTGGCATAAGTTTTGCACATAGGCTTGTTGAGGTGAACATTTCAGCCAAATTAGAAGTAAATCCTACAAAAGGTATAGGATTTATAGAGATGAGTTGAGACTGATGGCCAGTCATGTGCCCGAAATGGGATATGGGGCCATTTCTTTTGTTTAATAAAGGGTCATTGGCTCCATATTCTATTGTTACTGAATGAACTCTATTGTTTCCTTTTGTTTTGTTTACAGTTGGCCCCCTTATCCCTATTTGATAGTGGGGACAGACCAACCAACATACTGACCAACCTGACATAGTGATTCCCGAATAGACCCACTCTGCATTATATGGTGGTGTATAGTGACTCAAGTTAATAATGAATTATATACATGTAAATGGGACTTTCTTCTTTCTATAGCAGGGGCCATTTACATCTTCCCAACAGGAAAATTCTTTTAAATCACGCTGAAAAAATCCCTATAAGAGCTCAATTAAGCATACAAACTTTCTATTATTTCTAAATCAACTTGAAATAAAAGTGAGGTGATAAACAAGTCTTACCTAAATCTGGTAGCGCTAATTTAAGGAGATCTTCTAAAGTATGCTCATGTCCCTCTTCTGAGTGGGGTTTCAACAATTGTTGTATAAATGGTCTATCTATCTAAAAAATAAAAGGATTTCATACTGATACACATTTTTTAACTAAATATCAACAGTTATTAAGATAAGGCACTTATGTTGTTGTGCAACTTTATGTAGGTATCAAACATATCTCAATTCATAGTTATACTTTCAAGTTTTAAATTTGAATCTTAAACATGATGGTTTGACATGGTAAAGATAATTTTCCAGCTGATTCTCTTTTGCTTGAACCACATCAATAATCTCAAAGATATATGGTGTTTTTCCAGTTTAAATAGTAATGGTAAATGATGCCTTTATATCAGGAAGATAGTTATTATATGAAGACGTGCAAAGTGGTAACTACATGATTGTATATTCATCCTGGTCAAAATGAAAATTTTAAAGAGCAAATTCAATTGCTATTGGAAGAATTTGTGGGATTTTATCATATTATAAATAGCATACCTGTTCAAATAATTATTTGTGCCGCGTCATGACAAAACGCATCCGCGCAGTCTGATCAGGATCCATGCTGTTCGCTTACAAACCCTATTACAAGTAGAGAAACTGATAGCGAACAGCATGGATCCTGATCAGACTGCGCGGATGCGCAGGCTGGTCTGGATCCATGCTGGTCGCAAACCCACTATGTTGGTTTTGTCGTGACGCGGCTCATTTGTAGAGAAGAACTAATTTAACATACTTTTTATACATTCTGTAAATTGTGATATTTGTCAATAAAGATTGAACAATATAAAACATTCTTTACCAAACCAAAGCTGTCACAAGAACTTAAAGGAATGAAAACTTACTTGGTAGATTCTAAATGGAATGTATCTAAACATGTCATCTCCTGTATTCTCCATGAGTCTCTTATTGATGGGCCAAAACTGATCAAATTTGTCTACAAATTAAACATAAACATTTCTAATTGCATCGTATGTCTTGAGTTTTTAATGATAAATATATTTTCAATTCCTATGAAATTTCTAGCAACCTAAACAAATAGTAATTTTATCACAATTATAACCAAAAACATACACTTCCATGCTGTTGTACATAAATGACTGCCCTATCATCATAAAGAATCAGAATGTTCGAAAAAAAACTGTTATTCTATTTTTTGTTACAACGGTACAATATATAATGTAACTATGGTCTCTTGCAAAAAAGTGACAATTTTGGTTTAAACATAGAAAAATGTCACGGCCACATGGTGAATTTCAAACTTTCCTGGCAAAAGAAAGACCTGACATGTGCTTTCATACATAACATCAGGCACTTGTCTGTACACATACATATTTTCTGTATATTGGCTGGGTAGCTTATGTACATTAAACTATCCAACATTTACAAGAAGATTTGAACCCACACAGGTCAATAAAACACACATTATGTAGTCAGAGCAAACACTCTTTGAACTTTTACCATGTAGGTAAAAAAAGTACATATTAATAAATCAAAGAGCACTCTTTGAAATATATAGCTGTGTCATGACAAAACCAACACAATGCGTTTGCGACCAAAATGGATCCAGACCAGCCTGAACATCCACGCAGTCTGAACAGGATCCATGATGTTCGCTATTAGATTCTCTACGTGTAATAGGGTTTGTAAGCGAACAGTGTGGACCCTGATCAGACTGGGCGGATGCGCAGGCTAGTCTGGATCCATGCTGGTGGCAAACCCATTATGTTGGTTTTGTCTTGGCGTGGCTCATTATTATATATATGTTATTGTAATTCCTTGATAAAACCAAGTATATATTGTATAATGATTCAGTGTAAAAGAAAAGTGATACAATGTACATATATCATTTATTTCAATGTTGTCAGTGACATTCACATTGTCAAATTGCATCATCAAAGTAAACACACAATGACCGACTTTTTAATTATACTTCACTAAAATACCTTACCAAAAATATTTTGACAATTTGACATTATGTACCATCCTGTTACATTTTATAGACATGTTACTAGCCAGTCATAAAACTCACCAAAATCTTCAACATTACTTACCAACAAGCCAGTTGCAATTAATATTTCTATAATGCTCTTTGATATGATTCATTGCTAAAGAATTTTACAGGAGCAGTAGCCCAAATAGTTATGGTTTCTGCCTCTCATGAAAAAGGATAATACATGTAGTTATAAGCCATATTTGACTCATTACCATATTTCCTGATATGACACCAGTACTGGACCTACTGGTTATTATCACTTACGAGTTATACAAGTAAAAGTTGCAAAATCTTCTTCCACATTCAAGCATAAATAAATATGTTTAAACAAAGCCCAGTTATTAAATGATAACAGAGAAAACTAATCAACATTGAAAATCAATATACCATGGACAAGTCCCATCCACATCTGTTTATGATCTTTTTTCTGCATGCCATTTATAACACTACTCCGGTGTTTTAATGCATCTGCCTCTTTCAGCATTGACATAAAATGTGACTCAACGGCTTCTCTCCCGACACAATGAATAATCTCTTCTTCCGGAAAATCCTGTGTATATATTAACCAGCTGATATTAAATCCAAAATAAATCGATGAAGAACTGTTAAAGAATACTGATTAACCAATATTAATTTTTAAAGGATTAGAAAAAAATTATATCTTTGAAAATAGAAATTTTGGAACTTTATGTAGGTAATATCATATGCAAGTAGTTAGTTTTTGAACAATTTTACTTATACAAAATTTACTAAAACAATGATAATTGTCAAACCATACCTGAAAATGCACTGTCAGTTTCCATGGTAACGAAATGCCATACAGATCATAAAGAACGCCAACAGGATTGTGCCTGTAATAAGTGCAAGTGAAAGGATAACAATAGCTAGAAATATTTCTTGTCATATAGCTACATAGCATCATGGAAAATGCAATGATCAGCATTCCTTCCTTTACTAGTGCTGAAAGATAACAGGTAAATCTCTGTGAATAGTAAAAGTGGAATCTAAAAGTGGGGAGCAGGTTGTATGTCCGCAACTATTGGTAAAAGTACCCTTCAATTAATGTTTCTAGCACACATAAGGTTTACAGGCCAATGTAGGCATTTGTTGTTCTTTTTTCATATTGAGAGTGAAACACTTAAAGCAGTCAAAGAGAAATAGGTATGTGGGTGGAAAGCAATGATATTAGGTATTTTCTTAACAACCAAACAAGCTATTTCATTCTGGTTTCCCCTACATTATCTATAATTCAATATGATTTTTCATTATACTAATAAACACGTATTTACAATGTCATTGCCAAAATTGGGGGAAAAAGCAACAATTTCTAAAATTTACAGAAAAAAATTGCTTTTAATTCTGAACAGAATCTGCTGCTTAATGTATACCATTTACATATGACAAAAGATAAAACTTCCCTATTTTACCTGGTTTTAAATGGGCTCATAACATATTTAATTTTACATTCAATATTTACCATTTTAAAGGTTGTCCCTCAAAGTCTATCCACATCTCTCCAGTTTTTTCCTTATCCACATATTGTGCAAAATGTTTAGATATTTTCTCTGTCACCATTGGCAAGTAACTATGTCTTGGTACCATTTGCTGAAAATACAACATAAAAACAATTAATGTGTATCCCAGATTTCTTAGAGCTTGGAACTTTGTGGTAAAGTTGTCTGAAGGCAAACAAGACCTCAAAGTCTTCACTTCATTAGTCACTGCAAAGTATTTTTGATTGATGTTTGTATTATATAATATTAATAATATCTGTCATATGTTGCAGTTCAGATCCAAATATCCGTGCGAAGGGGACCCCGCCCATTGGGGGGTAACAAGGCTTGCCCAGTTACTGCCCATGGGCGGATTCATGAGGGACAGATATTCCGATCTGAACCGCAAACATGTAAGATATTTTTTCTTGCATATTCAGCAATATTAATCAATATTTAAAATGGTTTACCACAATAAGATTTTTGTTCATGGAAATTAATGTCATTTCATCCATAACTATTTTATTACAAAGCGTGTGAATTTACAACTTTTTTATAACAATGGCGAAATGACGTCATTCTAAGCACAATGTTCCCATCTAAATTGATGTCATTTAATGTGGTTCATTCATAAAATGCGCTAAAATGATGTTGTTGTATGGCACGCTACTCATCTGGCACCCCAATGCCAGACGAAATTTCCGGCATGGGTAAAACCCACGGAAAAACCAGTCTGCTATGTAAGAATATAAAGTCTAAACTACTGACATGCAGGCTGGCCAGGCTCTATAATGGCTGCAAACACTTTCAGTTCAAACAGGTTATGGGTAAACAGAGGAACATATAATTTCAGCAATGAAGGTACATGTATCTTAGTTAGCAATGAAGGTGTTTCTTACCAACAAATGTTAATATTAGGAATGGAAATAAGGTAATAAAGTAAGTAGTTTAATTTACAATATAAGCAACTACAATAATATGGCATCAGCAATGTGGTACAATGTACAATGAAATTGTCAGAACAAGAAATGCACATTAATATTTACAATCCATTTATAGCATCAATACATCAAAAAAGTACATATTAAATTAAACAAAGTGGGAAACACTTTCTAGGTAGTAAATCGAATAATGAGATTCAAATTTTCATTTCATCATAGAAACCATCTTTAGAATAATCATTTAAAAGGAAAGTTATCAGGTATACAAAAAAAATTATTGGCAATAAATGGGGAAGTTGCTATCAATTAAGATATTTCTATCATAAATGGAGTAAAGTTGGTTATCAGTTATGTGGACAGTTATCAAAAATTAAGGAAGGGAATAATCCATGCTTTTGATTAGAAATACAAATCATCTACTCGGGTATGTCTTAAAGAAGAAAGGGGGTTATCAGCAAAAATAAACAGATAACCAATGGAGGTCACTTGAAAATGACAAGTTACTTTAAAAAATTCCATGTGGCTATTGTAGATTATTTGTAATGAACATGTTATCAGTAAGGAAGAACAATTTTCAGAAAAGAAATTAGGTTATCAGCAATCATACTCGAATAAAAGCATATTTTATGTATTTTGGCTCTTCCACCAGCAAAGTTGATAAGTTATCAAAATGGTGATAGGCAAGTAACAACAGTGAGAAAATGTATGCTTTTTGTCAGCAATAGTAATGTGTTATTAGAAATGAAGGCAAGGCAAGTGACAGTTTACCAACAATATCAACCATTTTAAGTCGCACCTGTTCAAAACACTAGAAACCAGCAGTTTGTTGCTATGTAAATATGTAAACAATCAGGACAAATGGTCAAATTATTTGATTTTCACAATATTTACAACTTTTTAACAAGAAATTATAAAAAATATAACCTTTCCAAATGCATTTTTTCACCATAAAAACAGACAGTCATGTTTTAAACCTACCCAAGGCTCAAAGAAAAGTCACAACTTAAAGAGAACCAACCGTCAGCAATGAAAGGATGATAAATCAACAAATGAAAGTATATTGAACTTACATAAACAGGTTCAGGCTGTTCAGCAATGACTTCATCTTGGGCTAGATGAAAGCACACTGGTATTTTGCCCTCCCAGACATCACGAAGGATAGCCCTATCATCTCCCATTACTGTACGTTCATATTTCCACACAATACAAAACAGTTTACATACAGATGATCCTTCTGGGCTGTCTCAGTACCTTGAATGAAAGAATCAATTAATTAATTAATTAAGGTTTTAGAACCCTAACACATAAATAAATATCAACTAAAATTGCTGTATCTTTGTCTTTGTTATTACAGATGAATTTGCTATTTCAAAAGATCAAAGAGAAGTCAACTTCAACTACTATAATAAAAATTTGCTTTTCCAAATATGAATTTACAGATATTTTCTTTGCATTTATATAAGTATATTTTGTATTTCTTGTATTTTATTTAAGTACATGTATATTTTATTCTTTATATAAGTATAAACATATTCTGTAAAATATCTTTAATTTATATCTCATAATCATGAACAAGTGGTGATGTTAGCCCAACAAATTATGAGCTTGAGGGCTTTTTATTATAAAGGCAGTGGTCGCCCTTCTGTAAAGACAGAAATCTTTGTAATATCAGGTTGTAAAATCTGTCGGTCTTGCTGTCAAAATATTGAGACTAGTGGTGCAGTATGACACTGCACAAGTATGACTTTTATTTTTGGTGTTTCATTTTTTATGGTCCAATAAACAACTGATTAGTTGATAGTTTCAGTGTTTATACAACTGATCTTAGTTTTTTCTTTTTATACAACTGATTGGGTGATCAATCTTAGTTTTCCCTGTTTCTACAATTTATTAGGTGACAAGATAATTGAAGATTACTGTCCTCAATTATATCAAATAAAAATATATCAATTCTGACCAATTTCAACACTAGTAACTTGGAAATATGCCATTTGAAGTATTTTGTTTACAATAAAATCTTTTAATTATGGATAAAACAGCCTTTTTCATTGATTGATTTGGTTTTTTTCAGTTAGGTCAGAGGTCACTTTTGTATCTCTACTCCATTCCATTCTTTGTATTTTGTTTCATCAGTTAGTTTAAAAGTCACTTTTGTATTACTATGCCAAAATGTATTTAGGTTTGGTTTTGGCGCCTTTTGGTGACAGTTTTTGCCAGACACATACACAGTTCAGGGATCACGTTTTTAGGCGACTTGGGCGACAAAGTCGCCTTGTCTCTCTCCATTTCGCCCGGATCGCTCAGAAAAGCGAAAACAAAGTCGCCCTAATTTTCAACAAACGCTTGCAATAAATTTTGAAGTGTAATCGTCTACGCTCCTCCTATTTCAAAGCGATTTGTTAAACGCATTTTCATTGGTCGGTAAAATTGGAAACTAATGGAAAGCCAATGAAACGCAGCGAGACAATTTAGCGAGTGTTGGAATTGAATGGTTGACATCTTCGGGTATTGTCCAATGCCGACTTATTATCAATAAACAACAAATAAACAGATTAGCGGCGATTCATGTCAATTAGGATAAATTGGGGGCATACTTATTGCATTAATTAGTTGGTAAGTTTAGTGATCTTATTCACACATTATCTCTTTACAAAAGCGTGTCGCCAAAAGTGTTTGTCACATGTACATGTTTCGATGTTTAGGCCTACATTTGGAAAATGGGTCTCTGTTACAAATGTTGGTGATGATTTATCCCTTGATTATTATTCTTTAAAAGAACTTTATTTTTAACGTTAAGTAAACAAACATACATTATAAAACACTGATGTCATTTGCTGGTTAATGGGGAAAAGACCGGTGCAAATAGTATTACCGATAGATCTAATGCATTATGCAGAAAAAGTCTGTCGAAGAGAAAAAATTATCAACTGTACACACACGTTACATTTTCTTTTAAAAAAATAAATAAATAAAAAAACATCCACATAAACCTTATTAAGTTTATATGAACTTTGACTCGGCACTCCCTATGAATATTTCTGGGTAAAATGATGAAATACACATACATAGGCCCTACTACTGATTTACTAAAAAAAATTTTTTTTATTCAGCACACCATCACATGGCTGCAGCATTAAAATCAAAACAAGCTACACAAAACCTATGATAAAGATGATATAGAAGAAAAAAAAAACTGCCACATTTGTAATTTTGCTGTTTATTGTTATGAGTTACTTAATAAACTGTTATGTACTCCAAATAATGTTAATCAATCTTAAAACTTGGTACGAAATGGAACATTCAACACTTCAAAAAAAATGCAGTTCGTATGCACTTCTCCTTGTCCCTAAAAACTTCTCCCTATTTTCAATGGAGGGAGAAGTCACTTCTCCCTAAATTTTAGGTCTAGCGTGATCCCTGCAGTTGTTTTTTTTTCAAATTTGACATAATTACCATGAAATAAGTGATGACGTGGAAATAGTGATGTTGAGTACAAATCTACATGTAATTATCAATTGAAATGAACGTCAATTTGTTAACTATTCCATAAAACATCAAAAGCAAAAATAAGAGTGCAACATCTATACAATTAGGGCTGTGTATTGCCATTTTTTCTGTCACGATACATATCACGATGCATGTTTTCCCAAACGATGCGATTCACGATTTGTATTGCATACTTTGAAGAAATGCGATGCATATTGTGTTTCTTATGTAGCTATGCGATACGTATCACGATACTGACTTTCAGACTTAGTATATAAAAAATTTGGTCATATGTTTACAGCATACTTACAAATATATAATATAAACCTATCTACAATAACAAAACAATAAACTCTTTAACTTGTTATAATAACTTGGTTTCCAATTTTGAACTTTCAACAATTTACTTTTTAGATTATTTAAGGATTTAAGTTTTTTTAATGATACCATAACAGCAAATTGATATCTACAATTCTAACACTTAAGTCCACTACTGTAAATATGACAGTTCAACAATTTCAGTCTTACATTACACCACTAAAGATATTTCTTGTGAAAAGAAAAATAGTAACAAGTGATTTACAATTAGGTCAACAACTTAACAGTTTATCAGTTTCACTCTCAGTTTTCTAGAAAGATGTGTGCTCAACCCTAGAGTATTTTATTTTGAGTTGGCAAATTTTGCAAACACTCCACGTTGGGTCTTCCACATTATACATTACTGTCTGTTAGTTCCCCAAATACCAAATGGTTCCCAAAACTTGTGAATTATATGACGAGGGAGGATTTACTATATAGTTTCCCCTTCTAAATATTTTGCAGTCTACATGTTTTCAGTTTGTTTGTTTTTACGGGAAAATGATGTCAGCGGAAATGAAAGTATAAATACGTGACAAATATCACATGAGCATGTTGTCATCATCACTATTTTAATCCAACATCAAGTGCCACTAAATAAAATTACAAATTCATATTTGTAAGTTGTTTTTTCTTGAAAACGTTTAAATCTCTAATTATTTTTTATTATAAACAAGTTCAGAGAACACCAGCCCATTTATATAGAATTAATAAAACTTGGTTGGCTAACTGATTGCGGGCATGGTCTTCACTTAACGGCAAACAAGATGACAACGATAATTATGATAATAGTCCCGCTTGTTCATTATTTTCTGTGTTATTATTCTTTCTTCAGTCTTTCAAAAAATACGTTTGTCATTATATCCCTGGAAGATATTGTTAGTGTATTGCGATACTTTCCTGCTACATTGTATATCGATACATCGGGAGATATAATATGTATTGCATTGTGATAAATTGGAATTTTTAATTTCATAATGATGCATACATCGAGGAAAGGGCAATCGCGATACATCGATGAATCGTTACACCTCTATATACAATTAACAAAATGGGAGTGAAACGTCTCATTAGTGAATGTCTTGGGAGTGATACGCCTGGCATTCCTTTAGGATGGGCTAACATGATTTTTATAATGTTTAGAGCATGTTTCATGCTGATCACCTGAGCTTCAGGCTAAAGAAAGAGATGCTTATCTGCAGATGTTTCTAAATTCAAAATTTCACCATTTTTGTGTTTAAATGTTGAATTCTGCTTAAGCCAGTGCTAGCAGGCTCAATCAAGCCAAGCCTGCAACATTTTATGATTTTGCCATGTTGGGCTTTATTTAGGGATTCTGTTTTTCTCTATTTTAGTATAATATTATTTGTAATAAACATAATCAATCAGATGAAAGTTGTTTATATTTGTCAAGATGGCGGTGTTTTTATAGAAATTTCAACGAGGAAATATACTAAAGCCGCAGGTGACTTTATATCACATTGTCATTATATAGGTTAATGAAATATTTTGATTTCTTTTATGTATTTTTAATTGCCCAGCATGATAAATGCTTGTGATTTTATCTCTAACGATTACAACAGTAGTGTAACTTTGTGTTTTCTGCTTAGCCACGATCGATGTCAACCTCGCGTAATTACTTTGGCGGCCAGGACTCGTTAAGTATAAGAGAGATAAGAAAAGTTTTACATTGGTTCGATAGATAAATTATTCAACTACATATTGCATAATACACCCATAAACACTTTTCATATGAACTACGTAAATAACCGAGGTATATCGAGTGAAAAAATATGAGTTGTTTTCCTTATCTTCGAGTAAAATCATATCTCTTATATTATATATAAATGCTAAAACAATACAAATTAAGCCATTTTTAAACCGTTAGTTTGTTATGATTAAATGTCCGATTTTAGAAAATTATTACATCAATGGAAAGCTTGGGATCTTAGCTTTGTCACAGTATATCATTTAACACATCTTTTGACACCAAAGTATTTAAATTAACTGTTAAACCTACCATATGTCAGAACATTTTACATACGATTTATACAGTGAGATACGCAACCGGTTATCTCTACTCGAAAACATACTGATAAGAATAGCATGTCGTCTGCTAGTTGGGAAAGTGTTTATCAGTGTATTCCTTTTTATTTATGCTGTATCATATAAAAAACTGCTAGGCATAGACACCTTCTTATGGGTGTTGTTACCCTTGTCTATATATTCATATATAGTGTAATGGGAATGGACTTAGAATTCATTTCTGACTTAGGATTAATATTTTCTACCATCAAACACATATTTTGTGAACATTAAATGAGCCGTACCTCTTTGTCTTTGAAGAAATTTGGGACTAGGAACCGAGCTATAGTCGTTTACACTAAGGAAACGCACTTACTCTGTTGACTGAAAGCAACCTTTTGAATCGCTACGAAAAAAACATCTTTAAATTCTTAAAGAAATATGATTTGTCACTACCTTGAAGATTCAATAGCAAGGAATTTCGCAAGCTTAGATTGGCAACAAATCGGACTTTTCTGATATGAATACCTCCTTGGAGAAGAGTAACATATCTAAGGGAAGTAACAATTTGCACAAATTGTACCAAAGTAATTCAAGCAGAATGACACAAAGTAAAGTAGCGTAAAGCAGCGTGACACAAAGTAAAGTAGCGTAAAGAGAAAACATATGACAAGCACCACAGCTTTGATAATTGAATTCACCAAGACACAAATTTACATTATGAATTCACCAACAAACAAATTTACATTAAACCACGGCATTAAAAGCCGTGATTAAACTACAACTGTATACGATATGATATAATAATTATGACGTGTTATAATTGAATCGCTACCACAGACACTTGGGGTGTGGAGCTCAAAATATTTCAACGTCTATAATAATTCTATATAGAGGATATTAAATGAGTGTAAGTTCAGTACTGAATTTATTGCACAAGTTGAATAAAATTATATTATGCGAGCCTCTGGCGAGCATACTGAAATATTATTTTATTCAACGAGTGCAATAAATTCAGTAATGGACTTACACAATGTTAATATTCTATTTTCACATACCCAAAACAAAGACCGTTGAAAGTGAAATAAGTGTCATTTTTCATTGACGCGCCTATTGTAAAACGCTAACATTTAGCTCGTCTTTACACCATGTTTGTATACATGTAGTAACGCTAATGATGTCACGTCAAAATATATGCACGGCCGTGCAATACCATTTTTACGAGTCGCAAAATCGGCACGGGTGTGTGATTAAATATTATTATAGACGTTGTAATATGAAGTTTTTTTTTCAAAATGGCTTATATCAAGTATATGATCAATACTAGTGCTGGGATTGGCAAATATACATTTTATTTGGATTTTAAAGGCGTTTTCAGCTCCACACCCCAAGTGTCTGTGATCGCTACTGTACTTTGTTTTTATTCATTTTTTTATTCATGTAGTTCATGTAGTATTCAGGCCGGAACATCGTTTTGGATCCTAAGCTGAGCTTCTTAGGCCGATTTGGAAGCGTTTTCCCTTCTTATTATTTTCATCCACTTCTTTTGTAATTATTTCCAATATTATTGGAGAGTGTTTATTTCTATATCCTCAATTTATTATATACACTATATCAGTTTCTTTACATCTAAGATTTTATTTACACATAAAATTTCTTGTTAAAAACAACTCTCCGCGAATTAGCAACGATTCGCCACAATAACGATTCGTCACAGTCAAATAACGATTCGCCACAGTCAAATAACGATTTAGGCTTTATTAAACATCGCTGAAATTTGTCTGTTTAAATGACTGTTTACAGTTGAAAACATGTTGCACTGCGCTGTTCACTCATAACATGTGGCATTTTACAACACACTGAAATTTAAACTTTCGTTTGCAATAAAAGAAAATTTAGTTTTCTTTTCCAAAAGCAAATATAACTTATTGTCGTTTGATTGATGGGAAATTATTTCGTCCGACAATTTTAATCGCTTGAAAGGCATATACGAGAGGAAGAAGGCCACTTTTAAAGACTCATTATGCCCCAGAAATGCTTTTTATTTTCATTTGTCATCAGCTTTTTTATTTTTGATGTTCTTTTATAGTTTCCAAAAACTTACGCATTGGCCAATCACCTGAACCATCTTTTTCTTCTGTTGCTGTTAGACAATTAGTACATTTACAGTGAAGAAGTATTTCGTATGGAAGTCAAAATACTACTTTGCATTTTGCTACTTTGATCGCAGATAATCTCATATTTAGCGATTCTTTATTGAGTTAACAAGCAACTATCATGCTCTAAAAAAAAATCTGGAAACAAAGTGATCCCTCGGAAGCATTAATCACAACAAAATTACATAAGAATTGTAGACTCGGTTTGATTGAGTCTGTGCATGAAACCATTATTTAAACGTTATAAAGCAGAGAAAAACGGGATCCCTAAAAAACACCCAAAAAAGACAAAATTGTAAATGTTGCAGACTCTGTTTGATTATGGCTGTTCAAACCCGTGCTTGCTCCTTCTAAAAAAGTAAACAAGAGCTGTCCGAGGACAGCGACGCTTGACTATTCGAAAACGTTGTCATAAGGGTGTTTCATTGAGTATAATAATGCTTACCTATATGAATACATAAAATTGTCCGAAAAGGTACAAAGGCTTGTTTCTAAGATGTTTTATCGAGTAAACCACTGTTTGATTATTATTGTCACAAAAAAGCAAAAATCCTTCAGAAGTTATGGAGATACCAGCTTACAAGCAAAAACTTAAACAAAAATTTCTAAGTCGAAAAAGGGGCATAATTATGCAAAAAAGCAAATCAGAGTTATAGGACTGGTGCCAATCATGTTAATTAGATAATCAGAGAGAACAAGTGTGTGAAGTTTCAATCCATTCCCTTCATTAGGAGATACCAGCTTACACGCAAAAACTTAACCACCGTGACTTCGGCGCCGACAGAAGGGTAACTGCATTAGCTCGATTATTCAGCGAATAGTCGAGCTAAAAAACATAATATGCCTTTAAACGTTTCAAAAATGATTACAGCTCTTTCATGCTCAACTATGAAAGGAAATCACCGATTTTGACTTCAAAATTGCGCAAAAGCGATAAAAAGTTGATCTGTTTTTAGAATGCCTCTGTGAAATTCGCAAGTTGAGCTGGAAACAATGATCCCAAAGGATCAGAAAAATATAACAACACTGAACTGAAATATGGACAACTTTTAATTACAGCTGGCACACGGCACTTGCCACCTGCTGTTGTTAAGTATAAAAGTCTGGAAAAGTGTAATTCCTCTGAAGCATTTATCACAACAAAATTTACATGAAAACAGCAGACTCGGTTTGATTGAGTCTGTACATGAGGGATAATTAAAAAGTGCTACATCCCTGAAGTCCCCTAGTACCGGATTGAGTGGTACTCAATTTTCAACACACAAAAGTGCTTTAATAAATGATCCCGAAGGACAGAGAAATTTAACAACATTGAAGTGTAGTACAGGGCATCTCGGCAGAGCCGTAAACAGTTACCCTCGAGCTAGGTATTCGATCCCGTCTGGACCGGCAGACGGTTATTATTTATATATGCAAGAACGTACATTTTTGGTTAGATATTTTAAAGCAACATGCCTCCAGATTTGTGCTAATTTCAAGAACATTTTTTGAAAATGTCTTAAAAAGTATAAGAGCTCGTGAACTAAACAAACAGGTTTGAACAAAACCAAATAAAGGTTGAATAGACCTTAGATCAGCTAAAAAATAAACAAAAACAGAACTGGTACCTGTGGACCAGGAGACAATGTTCTGACTGAAGCTGAGGGGAGTGACCTTGCAAAGAAGGCAGGTACCACGATGCAGAATATAGGGTGCGTGAAGCCCTAGAATGCAGTATCGGCTTGACATGTAGACCTTTTGTCTGGCACCAACAATCCTTATTTAGGAAACCTAACCTTTTTCATATTGTCTCAGGTTACTAGCCTTACTGTCAGGTGCTCATTGACCGCTATACACTGACCTACATTTTGGTTAAATTCATTTCTTGAGCCAATACTCTGTGGAAATTGCATGGAGGTAATTATTACCACTTAGTGCTTCAAAATAAGCCATTAAAGACATGACTGGTAACATGCCCGGGGACCATACTCGAGAGCGAAAGCTCTTTCTCGTGCCTAAATTGACATATGGACACTCATTAACCATAGACTCCACACATACACATTTTCATACAACGGTATTAATAGACTATATTGGATGGATGAATTAAATGTGTATGTTTACTCTACTGCCATATACATGTAGTATGAAACATAAGGATTTAAAACTACAACAATGAATTTGAAACTATTTATTATACCATGTGAATTACTACAAGATAAAGAAAAACTACAGATTATAATGGATTTCAACAGAAATAACAGCGTAAGAGAAATAAAAGCATTCGAGTCGAATTAAAGGTTGCAAAACATTATACATGTACAAATCTGTATGTTGTAACTGCAGTCCTGAAATGTCACAAGAATTTTTAAAACACGATTCAGTCTATCGGGGTACATACACGTCAAAGGGAGCAGTTGCTTAACAGTCCAGACAAAATGTCCTTTTATTTCCATCAGATTATAAAGCATGTTACCAAAATAAAACAAAATTCAACATTACATTGTTTTTTTTAAAACAAAGCAAAGTGAAATAGTTATAACAAAATTATGCTCCCACAAGTTACAAAATAACTCTATACTCACAGGGACAAGATAATAAATCTTTATAAAGATATAACTACATGTAAAAACGAAGTGCAAAATCAGTGAACAAATACAGATATAACGAAACAATATTAGTTTGTATAATATTTCATATGGAAAAAAAACTGAGTTAAATTCAATCTCGTACACGCGCACAAACTCTACGTTCCCTTAGCAGATAGTTGAATACACTACCGTTTTTGACCGATGCACTGGAGAGCAATAAACGCGTGCACACATAGCAATCGCAACAAAGTCATTTATTTCAAATAACTATTTCACTGAAATGGCTATATAATGCAACACAAAAGTATCACATTACTAACAATGAATAAGAAAAAAATTCAACAAATGTGACATAGACAATTTAAGCACCGATTATAATTTTTTTATGCTAAACGCTAACACTGACTTTCAGCCTTGTCAATTCAAACTTTCATTTAAATATCCTATTCCCCTTCCCTCTAGCCACTTCTCGCTGAAGTCCCGAATCAAGGATGGTTTGGCCTGGGGAGTAAGTTTGAATTGGAATGCCATATGTGCGCATCGCACTGTAGGATCAATCTGAAGATTTTAAACTTATGTATTTGTATGTACAACTAAAATTTATTGACTAATACTAACCAGACATCAATCCAAACGTAACATTTTCTAACCTTAACAAAAAGAACGAAAGATGAATTATTTGTACCGGCTGAATCTTTTTAAACATTTTAATTGATTGATGTCAATTTAATTCAATATTAATTGCATTAAACATAAAACACATATGTAATTATAGCAAATTATACATGGAATACAATGGAGGGATACAGATGGAGTGATACGGGATACATTTTTTGCTCGAAAGTCACATTTTCTGTACGCTCAACATATTGGGCTGACCGGACGGCTGCTCGTATGTATGAGGAGTGTGTGCGTATATGTACCGCATGTGTGTATGTTATGCGTATGTGGAGTGTACTGCATTCGTGTGTGCGTTTATTTACCGTAAATGTGTATGTAATGCTTATGAGGATTGTATGCATGTATATACCTCTTGCGTGTATGATTATCATTCCTTTATATAAAAGGAATGAGTGTAAGGAAGCTTCATGTGTATGCAGCTATTTGTAGGCATGTTAAGTGTGAAAGTTTCGTTTGTACTTTTTAATAAAACTCAACATACTGTCTTACTTAGCATCAACTCGTCACTTAACCGAACAATATGTACAGTCAGTTAAATTATATAATGATTTAAGAAGGTTCACATCTATTCATACTGTAAAATATTAATGTATCAGTATACATATTAACACTTGAAACAAAGATATTCTGGCGATAACACTTCAATATAAAACAACTTATCCCTATTAAAATACAACTGAATACTTAATATCTTTTTTGTAAATGGTGCGTTAAATACATTGATATCAAAATAAATTCCCTATCATCGACATCTCGTAATAATTCATTTTACGTCAAATTTCGTATTTAATAAACATTTACAATGTGGTTAATTAGGACATTGTTTTAAAAACCCATTTTTCATTTCAATCAGAATTGATTTGAACATTTTAAAACATAGAAAATAACGAATATTCCGAACTTTTGCATTACTTAAGACTGATGGATGCAAATGATACAGACATATTTCAATTTCGGTACTCAAATCTTACAAAAAATTCTGTAATAACCTTTTATCAAGCCAATAAAAAAAAAAACAACAATTTAATGCGTTTTCTAAAATGAATTCTTATGGTGCAGAAACAATTTATAAAGCTATCGATATTTAAAGTCTATAACTGAAGGTTTGTAAATCTACAAAAATAAATATTTTCTTCTGTTCTGTTCTGTTCTGTAATACATTGAATAATTACGTTAATAGTATTTAACATCAGAAATTACAACAAACAACGAAATAATTATATATGAATGTTGTTGGCAATAGCGAAATACATGATCAGGTATTACAAATATTTATATAACAGATAATAAAATGTTTTATAGGAACTATTATTGTTCATTATTGTTCATCATAAAAATGTTCCAACTCACTTAGAACTTCATCATATCTTTCAAGCAATAATTAATATGACAAGTCAACGGACACATTTCTGTTGTTATTATCAATATTTGAAATAGTTATGGAAAATGTGTTCAATGTAGGCCAATCCACTTTGAACAGTTAGTCATCAATTGCAATAGTCTAATTAAATGCTACTTGTGCCAAACCAAGATGTGCTCTATCATTTCAAATTTATTATTCTTAATTTATCAAAGTCTTATTTTACTACAATATTTACATGTACAAGGCGTACAAATGACCCTTTTTAAATAAGGTCTGTTTTCGACATATATAGATATTAACATTCCACACGTATTTTAATAATTGCATTCACTACTTAAGTTGAACGATTTTGACAAAGTCACTGTTCTGACCCACAATCAACCGACGTTTTGTAGAATCAAAGCACAGTGACTCGGGATATTGAAGTCCATGATTTGTTGTCAACACATCGCATATCTTCTTTCCATCAAATCCTATTTGTATCACGTTGTGTGAGGAATACCCGCACGCAAATATGCTTCCTCCATCATCTGTACACACTGATGTTGCATTTCGCAACTCGGGTTCACAAAATTCAGCAACGCGCTGATACTGATCATTAAGAATGATAATACCTTTATTCAGATCTGCAACTACACCACCTCGCAAAGCATCACTGAGGTCAATTTCTCGAACACAGTTAAACAGACCATTACCTGTGATGTCTGTTGATATCTTTTGTAGTTCGTTACCGTACATATCATGTATATATAACGTTTGGGCATTATCAGTGATATAAAGATTATCATCATTCAAGGAAATTCCGAGACAGTTATGATAAATGTTAACTTTTTTTGTAGGTGTTAGTTCAGTACCGATTGAGACAAACTGAATACTCTCAGGCGAAGAAAGGGTAACGACTGCTTCATCTTTACTGGTATAGCATACACCCCATGGCTTTTGATCAAAACTACAGGAACTATCAATAGTCATAGTTTCGATATTAACGCGCTTAAGCTTTTTATTTTTTGAAATCAACTAAAAACAGCATTCCATCTTTTATCAAACATGAGCCAGATATATCACAAGTTGTTCCATCATCTTGTAACTTAACATTCATATCTTTGACAGTCTCAGCAGTGTAGTGGTGGCTGGTTCCTTTTGTGGTTTTTACTGTACCAAAGATTTCAATGTTTCTAGAAATCTTCAGTATTCCCGAATCTACATGAAATGAAACGCTGGCTTCTCCAGTGCATTTGAAGTCAGATAAGCTTTCTTTTCCATCTTTTATTTTTCGTTTTGCAATGTTCATGCATACAAATTGTTGTGACTTGTTTCCTGCTAATGTTTCAAATTCTGTTGTTAGCTTTCTAAAGTCATCTTTAAATTCTTTTGCTGCTTGTCGGTCTTCTTCAATCTCACCTTTTGCGGTCTCATATTTTCTCCTAAGGTCCTCTTTAGATTGTCTTGCAATGTTATCTAAATGCGTAATAAGCTTTTGCTTTTCATTGTCGATCTTCATTTTGGCTTCCTTTCTTGACAAATTTAAGACTACAAGAGCCTCTTCTTTCATTAGTTCGATGTTTTCAAACCGTTTTGTAGTGTTTTCTAAACCCCGATTTATATCTGCAAGATCTTTTGTATCGAATAATACGTCGATGTCATCAGGAATAGAATGGACATTTTTACATGATCTGTTAGAAATAAAATTCAAGTATTATAGTATGAATTAAAGATAATTTAAATAAGGATTTAAAATATGATATTCATATATAATTCACATTGTAATATTTATTTTTTGTCAATTTTATGAACATTATTCTCTTCGATGTATTGTGCAGCCAAGCGCACAACTGTTCTACCCCACAGATCTGCTTGCAGTGTTTACTAAACAAATGTATTTACAAAATAAAACGGTTTGATTTAAACGTTACAGCGGTTTAAAATTACAGCAAGATAAATATTGCAAATACTTTACTTAGATGTATTTTCGACGTTTTAATCATCTAGTTCCAGGTAAATGTACGTGCCTGTGGTGAAATTTTATCTTTTGATGACATTATAATAATTATTTCAAAAACGATCATACCACAAAGTGTGGGCTAGTGAGACGAATGAATTCCAAAAACAAATACAGATAAGAATCATTGTCATATTTAAAACTGTGAAAAAAATGTTATTAAATTTGGTTTAGGAAAGGGAACTTTTAAATCCTACGAAGACTTACGTCTTAGAACACAGTCTCTTTGACACATGTGTTTTATGTATAAATAAAATAAAAAAGACATATGTATGATATCAGAATATGTAAACTTAATAAAACAAAGGCTATAAATATAAAATCAACTGCACTCACATGCCAAATGATAAAAATAACTAGACCAATAGCGGTTATCAGGGCATGCATTTTTTTGTTATTTTCTTCGATGATAATGATTTGACTGCATTCATATCGGCACGTTAATTTGTTTATGATATCATTTCTAGTAGATCTTTTATCATTTTTAGATAATTATGATTGAATAGTTGAAATGTTTGAGGAAAAAAATCATCTTATTTTTAAAAAGTTTAGGTTAACAGTGTAGCTGTTACTTTAAAAAAATATCTAGAGTTATTTTCATATGACAAAAGATACCTAAGAACAACATTATATAACATTTACATTTTTCAGTCATCAGACCTTTACACATTTTTCTTCTTCAAATCTGTATAAGTGAGGACATGATGATTTTTTAACGAATAATTAAAGCTGCCAAATCAAACAAAAAGTTTTATACATCAATTGTCAAAATACCTGTGTTTTAAGGCCATGCATGTTGTACAGCCCACCTCATCATGGTCTTTGCAATACATATCAACTAACTTAATGCTATGAATAGGACATCTCTCCGTCGGCAATGTAATTGACGATCCCTCTACTTTACCAGCTGATGGGTCAAGCAGTGTGTGACTTTTCAAAACAGGAAATCGTAAGTGCATGTCCACGCAAGACTGACAGCAGTAACCTTGACATTAAACACAGTATTTAACAGCAACTTGTTACGAGCCAGGCGTAACGAGAAAGAAAAGCCAGCAACAAACTTGTAACAATAACAAATTTATTACAGAAAAATTATTAAAGAAAAATAAAATAACAAATTATCTTTACAAATACCTGAAGTCCAAATAAAAATTACAAATGTCTAGTCTGATCCTGGAATGATCCTTTTTGAATAACACAGTAAAATCCAAGTTAAATCCAAGAACACTTTAGAATAAATTCCCACAATAAAATCCACAAGAATAATATTAACTATTTTAAAATAATCCAAGCTCCAATAAATCACTTAATTTCCAAGTTGAATAATACTCCAAATATATTAATGACTTAAAAGATCACTGATGACTAAAAAGGTAACTGATGACTTAAAGATAAGAGTAATGAAAAATGTCTCCTAATATATATTAACTAAGAAGCTTCCAGAAAGGTCTATTATGTTCTCAAGTAATCATAATCTAGCAACTTCAACAATAAAGATCATTCCAGAAGTTTCTATCTAAATATAATGCATGAGTTTTCTACAACAGTTAAGAACCTTCTAGTACATACATGTAGTTTATGTTCTAAAAATAGAACAATGATAATATTGGAAATACCAACTGGTCAGATATAAATTATATACATGTAATATGTTGCATACATAACAAACTTTGCCGGTGCAAGTAAAACACTGAAAATCTGAAAATTCATCCGAGGCCACTTCACTATCACCAGTCGCCATTTTGATAGTAACTTCCTTTTTCGTACACTTCTGTTATACGTGCCCTTTAGTTCTCACAAAGTAATGTTTGTGATAGTTTAAATAATAGAACAATATATATCAAAATAATATTAAAATATGGTTCATAACTATGAGGTTAACTTCAGTTGTCAATTAAAAAATAAATCTTTTAATCGTAATTGAAAACTCACTTTCGATTTCAACAACGCATGGTTTAATAATGTTCTGAACATTTGAAATAACGAATTTCTACGACTGAATACGTTAACGCGTATATATCAGTTCAAAGTAACTAAGTAATTAATATAATATCCTTCACTTATCAGCACTTTTCTCGGTATAGCCGAATCTTACGTTAACATTTAATTTTTGTTGAATAAGCACGGTATCAGAATTAATACACGTTGTACATTTTACAACTTTATCGGATGCTCAATAAAACTCATTTCCTTCATACGAACGTTCAACTTTAGTGTTTGTTAGTCATCATTTATGAAATTAAATATGTCTGGTCCAATGAGATTTATTTTTTGGGTTGCTTTTTTCATGCAAATACTTTGGTATATTTAATCTATCTAATCCAGCCTATTTTAATACACCTTTTAAAATCAATTAATTCTTGTGAGTGATAAAGCTTTTATTCGAATCAAGTTAACCTCTTATTTTTTGTATTTGTATTATTGAATTTAATAAGTTGTTGAGCTTCCTATATATATATATATATTTTTTTCTTTTGCTCGCCTTTCTGTTTCTTATTTTGTAGCTGTGATCACGTTTCAAATCTTTTGCCCATCCACCGTTGGCCCATTTGGTTTTGCAATAAGTTTTATTGCAATTAGTTATATGAATACTGCGTTTTAGTGACTATTTATAATGATTAATACTTTTTGTGGACAGATTAGTATATCATTCTTTGACCAATTTTGCAGTTATCTATAGTGATAATTTGTGATCATTGATAAACCTTTTTAAATATTATCATTGAAATTTCTGGATTGGTTTTTCGTTGTTACATTGTAAATCAAATATAATTTGTACTAAATATTCATTAATTATACCCCGTTAAATAACCGTATTACACTCGCACAGTGTTAAACTCAAACACTAAGTAGTAATTAATGCTCAACTATATTAAATAACTTAAAAAAATATGTTTTTATTTTAATTATCAAATAAACCACATTTCGTCAGCAAATAAGTTTAAATCAAAATAGGAAAGGAATGATAATTTGAACACTTCCTTGTCAGAATATCTGGAAAGCTATTACTATTTACCCGGAAATCAAGAATAAAACCTTAATTTAGCCGAGTACGCCATTTATTTCCATTTGCTTATACCATCATTCAGACTAAAATTTGCATTTTAAAATATTCAACTGTACTAACTAAAGCTTAAGTTAGCATACACAATTAGTGCAACTAATGATATAATCAACAATTGATTTAAATATATATATCGGATAATTACCACGCGTAACATTAAAAAATAACGATACTCCAAGCTTGTTATTTTGATTGTACTACAGTATCATTTGTGTAAGTAGGTGGAACGATTTTAGATAGCTGGTATCACTTATAATATCTTTGATGTCGATATTTTAAACGTATTTTTTGATATTGCTTCGACTTCATAAGATGAATAATTTTAACAATATGACTGTTCTGTGTTGCAAACAACCTGCACCGTTTCGAATCAAAACATAATGACGAAAGATTTTTGATGTCATGCGATTTTTCGACTACTTTACCAATCTTATTGCCATCATAACCTACCTGTAAAATGTTATGTGAAGTATATCCACATACCAAAATGCTTCCACAACCATCTGTACATGCTGATACTGAATTCTGCAACTCAGGACCACAATATCTAGCAATACGCTGTTACGTATTGTAAAGAATGATAATGCATTTCCCCGTCTACAACTACAATACCTCGCATATAATCACTTAGATATATTTCTTGGACACAGCTATACAAACCATTGCCAGAGTTATCTATCATAATCTTTTGTAATTCTTTGCCAGACATATCGTGTACGTATATACTATGATCATTATCAGTGATATATAACTTCTCATCATTCCTATACAATTATGATTTATGTTCACCTTACCAGAAGGCGCAAGTCATGTACCAACGGAAACAAACGGAACAATTGAAATACAGAAAGGACCACATTTAGAGAAAGGCACACTTGACTGATCACTTGTAATTGTAGAGCTATCCTTAATGTAGTTTTTTATCATTTTGAATAGAAATTGCTGGAATGTTCACTTAAATAAGCTGGGACATCACCTAAATGCATAATAAACATGTGACATGGAGTTTTAAAACGTAGCCATTTGACAAAAGAAAATTCTTCGTTATGATCCTTATCATCAAGATATATCACAAATCGTATCAGTATGCTTTGGGTGACCTGACGAAGCATTATCAGAATGGCTCTGGATAATAGACATAACCAATAACATAACCAATAACATTATGAGCTTTTATTTTCATTTTCCATAAGCTTTTTTTAGTTTTGATGTTCTTTTATAGTTTCCAAAACCGTACTCATTGGCCAATTACCTGAACAATCTTTTTTTCTGTGGCGGTTAGGCATTTAGTACATCTATAGTGAAGAATGATTATGTGTGGAAGTCAAAATACTACTTTGCGCTCTGCTAATTTGATGGCAAATAATTTCATATTTAGCGATTCTTTATTCAGTTAACAAGCAACTATCATACTCTAACGCCCAAAACGACAAAATTGTAAATGTTGCAGACTCGGTTTGATTCAGGCTGTTCAAACCCGTGCTTGTCCTTTCTAAAGAAGTAAACAAGAGCTGTCGGAGGACAGCGACGTTCGACTATTCGAAAACGTTGTCATTGAGTATTATAATTCTTACCTATATGAATACATAAAACTGTCCGAAAAGGTACAAAGGCTTGTTACTTAGATGTTTTATCGAGTAAATCACTGCTTGATTATTATAAATGCATAAAATTGTCACAAAAAGGCAAAAACCCTTCAGTGGTTATGGAGATACCAGGTTACAAGCAAACTCTTAACCAAGAATTTCTAAGTTGAAAAAGAGGCATAATTATGCAGAAAAGCAAATCAGAGTTATGGGAATTGTGCCAAACATGTTAGATTATCAGAGAGAACAAGTGTGTGAAGTTTTAAATCCATTCCCTTCAGTAGTTATGGAGATACCAGCTTACACTCTTAAACTTAACCACGGGGGCGCCGACGCCGACAAATGGGTGACTGCATCAGCTCGATTATTCTGCAAATAGTTGAGCTAAAAATCGATTCAGAAACATAATGTGCCTTTATACGTTTCAAAAAAGTTTATATACTATGAAAGAAAATCACCAATTTTAACTTCAAAATTGCACAAAAGCGATGAAAAGATGGTCTGTTTTTAGACTGCCTCTGTGAAATTCGCAAGTTGGGAACATAAAATTGCCCGCGTATTGGGATTCTGTAAACGATTTTATTTCAACCAATTTACCAACGAGAGTGAGATTGACAAGAAGCTCCGTTAGCGGTAAAACTTTAGAAGAACTCAATAAGGTCTAGCATTGCATTCATTTATGTTAAGGTTTTGTCTTTTATGGAGAGCTTTACTTCCTACTGCATCATGTTCTTTTTATCAGTTTCAACGAAATCCTTCCTTTTAATAGTGTTTCGCGAGTAAAATGGGTATAATTGTCCGGACATATTGCTGTTCAAAATAATTGTAAATCTTTGATTTTTCATAACCTGGAAAAGTGTGATCCCTCGGAAGCATTATCACAACAAAATTACATGAAAACTACAGACTCGATTTGATTGATCCCTCTGAAGCATTAATCACAACAAAATTACATAAAAACTGCAGACTTGGTTTGACTGAGACTGTAAACGAGGGATAATGCAAAGTGCTACATCCCTTAAGTCCCCTAGTAACGGCTTGAGTGGTTCTCAATTTTCAACACACAAAAGGTTTAATAAATGATCCCGAAGGGCAGAAAATGTAACAACACTGAAGTGTGTAGTACAGGGCAACTCGGCAGAGCAGTAAACAGTTACCCTCGAGCTAGATATTCCCGTCTTGACCGGCAGCCGGTACATTTTGGCATAGATATTTTAAAGCAACATGCCTCCAGATTTGTCCAAAAAAATTAGTATTAAAAGTATAAGAGCTCGTGAAGTTAACAAATAGGTTTGAACAAAACCAAATTTAGGTTGCGCAGTCTTAGATCAGGTAGCGCTTCAGCCATGGTCAAATTGCCTATTCAAACCTCAAAGACATTGGAGAAGTGAAAAATAGTTAGGCCTAAATACTCTTATGTTAAAAATGATACTGATAATATTTATAAATGCATTTACTCGTAGTTAGTAAATATCTTTAATAATGTAACTGACTTTTCTTTAACAAATGTTTAGAGTAGTATATTTTTATCGCCTATCTTTGTTAATTAGATCAAAATGTGAATGAATGATTGTAGATACATGTCTTCGTTTTTCATTTCTCATTAGTGCAGGTACCACGAGGCAGAATATAGGGTGCGTTTGGGCCTAGAATGCATTATCAGCTTGAAATGCAGGCATTTTGTGTGGCACCAACAGTCCTTATTAAGGAAACCTAACCCTTTTCATATTGTCTCAGGTTACTAGCCTTACTGTCAGGTGCTCATTGACCGCTATACACTGACCTAAATTTTGCTTACATTCATCTCACTGGCCAATAGTCTGTGAAAGTAAATTATTACCACTTAGAGCTTCAAACTTAATCATTAAAGACATGACTGCCTGGTTACATGCTCGGGGACCGTACTCGACAGCGAAAGCTCTTTTTCGTGCCAAAATGGGGATATGGACATTCATTAAACATAAGACAAAATGTCCTTTTATTTCCATCAGATTATAAAGCATGTTACTAAAATAAAAAATAATCAACATTACATGATGTTTTTAAATAAAGCAAAGTGAAATAGTTATAACAAAATTATGCTCCAACAATTAAGTTACAAAATAACTCTTTACTCACAGGGACAAGATAATAAATCTTTATAAAGATATAACTACATGTACAAATGAAGTGCAAAATCAATGAACAAATACAGATATAAGGAAACAATATTAGTTGGTATAATATTTTATATAAAAAAAACAAACTTAGCTAAATTCAATCTGGTACACGCGCACAAACTCTACGTTCCCTTAGCAGATACATGTAATTGAATACATTACCGTTTTTTGACCGATGCACTGGAGAGCAGTAAACGCGTGCAATCGCAACAAAGCCATTTATTTCCAATTACAATGAATTTGCTATATCACATAACTAAGAATGAATAATAAAAAAAAATCAACAAATATGACATAGACAATTTAAGCATCGATAATAATTTTTTTAAGCTAAACGCTAACACTGACTTTCAGCCTTGTCAATTCAAAATTTCATTTAAATATCCTGTTCCCCTTCCCTCCACTAAGTTCTCGCTAAAGTCCCGAATCAAGGATGGTTTGGCCCGGGGAGTAAATTTGAATTGGAATGTTATATGTGCGCATTGCACTGTAGGATCATTCTGAAGATTTTAAACTAATGTATTTGTATGTACAACTAAATTTATTGACTAATACTAAACAGACATCAATCCAAACGTAACATTTTCTAATCTTAACAAAATGAAGAAAGATAAATTATTTGAACCGGTTTAATCTAATTAAACATTTTATTTGATTGATTTAAATTTAATTCAATATTAATTGCATTAGTATGTGCGTTTATTTACCGTGAGTGTGTATGTAATGCTTATGAGGAGTGTATGCATGTATATACATCTTGCGTGTATGATTATCATTCCTTTATATAAAAGGAATGAGTGTATGGAAGCTTCTTGTGTAATCATGCAGTTATTTGTGGGCATGTGAATTGTGGAAGTTTCATTTGTACTTTGTAATAAAACTCAACATACAGTCTTACTTAGCATCAACTCATCACTTAACCGAACAATACAGTCAATTAAATTATATAATGATTTAAGAAAGTTCACATCTTTTCATACTGTAAAATATTAATGTATCTGTATACATATTTACTCTGAAATACAGATATGCTTTCGATCACACTTTAATATTAAACAACTTATCCCTGTTAAAATATTACTGAATACATGAATAATAAATATCTCTATGTTGTAAATGGTGCATTAAATACATTGATATCAAACATTCCCTATCATCGACATCTCGTAATAATTCATTTTTACGTCAAATTTCGTACATTGTATTTAATAAACATTTACTATGTGGTTAATAAGTACATTGTTTTAACGCCCATTTTTCGTTTCAACCAGAATTAATTTGAACATTTTAAAACTTAGAAAGTAACGAATATTACTTATAACTCCTGGATGCCAATATAGCCTTATATCAACTTTGGTACTCAAATGTTACAAAAACTTTTGTAATAACCGTTTATCAAGCAAAAAGAAAAAAAAAACAACAATTTAATGCGTTTTCTAAAATGAATTCATGTCGTGCATAAACAATTTATAAAGCTATTCGATATCTAAAGTCTATAACTGAAGGTATGTAAATTTACAAAAATAAATATTTTGTTCTGTTCTGTTCTGTTCTGTAATACATTGAATAATTACGTTGATAGTATTGAGCATCAGCCATTTCAACAAACAACGAAATAATTATATACGGATTTTGTTGGCAATGGTGAAACACATGATCATGTATTACAAATATTTATAAAACAGATAATAAAATGTTCTCATAGGAACTATTATTGTTCATCATAAAAAGATTACAACTCACTTAGAACTTTATCATATCTTTCAAGCAATAATTGATATGACAAGTCAACGGACACATTTCTATTGTTATTATCAATATGGAAAATGTATTCAATGTAGGCCAATCCACTTTAAATAGTTATTCATCAATTGCAATAGTCTAATTAAATGCAACAGACTAATTAAATGCTACTTGTGCCAAACCATGATCTGGTGTATCATTTTAAATTTATTATTCTTAATTTATCAAAGTCGTATTTGACTACAGTATTTACATGTACAAGGCGTACAAATGACAGTTTAAAAAAGTCTGTTTTCGACATATATAGACATTAACATTTCACACGTATTTTAATAATTGCATTCACTACTTAAGTTGAACGATTTTGACAAAGTCACTGTTCTGACCCACAAGCAACAGACGCTTTGTAGAATCAAAGCACACTGACTCGGGATATTGTAGTCCATGCGTTATTGTCAACACATCACATATCTTCTTCCCATCATATCCTATCTGTAACACGTTGTGTGAGTAATATCCGCACACAAATATGCTTCCCACATCATCTGTGCACACTGATGTTGCATTTTGCAACTCGGGTTCACAATATCCAGCAACGCGCTGATACTGATCATTAAGAATGATAACACCTTTATTCAGATCTGCAACTACACCACCTCGCAAATCATCACTGAGGTCAATTTCTCGGACAAAGCAAAACAGACCATTGCCTGTGATGTCTGTTGATATTTTTTGTAGTTCATTACCGCACATATCATGTATATATAACGTTTGAGCATTATCAGTGATATAAAGCTTATCATCTTTAAAAGAAATTCCGAGACAGTTATGATAAATGTTAACTTTTCTTGTAGGTGTTAGTTCAGTACCGATTGAGACAAACTGAATACTCTCAGGCGAAGAAAGGGTAACGGCTGCTTCGTCTTTACTGGTACAGCATACACCCCATGGCTTTTGGTCAAAACTACAGGAACTATCAATAGTCATAGTTTCGATATTAACGCGCTTAAGCTTTTTATTTTTGCAATCAGCTAATAACAGCATTCCATCTTATCAAACATGAGCCAGATATATCACAAGTTGTTCCATCATCTTGTAACTTAACATTCATATCTTTGACAGTCTCAACAGTGTAGTGGTGGCTGGTTCCTATTGTGGATTTTACTCTACCAAAGATTTTAGTGTCTCTAGAAAATTTCAGTATTCCCGAATCTACATGAAATGAAACGCTGGCTTCTCCATTGCATTTGAAGTCAGATAAGCTGTCTTTTCCTTCTTTTATTTTTCGTTTTGCAATGTTCATGCAAACAAATTGTTGTGACTTGTTTCCTGCTGATGTTTCAAATTCTGTTGTTAGCTTTCTAAAGCCATCTTTGAATTCTTTCGCTGATTGTCGGTCTTTTTCAATCTCATCTTTTGCGGTCTCATATTTTCTCCTAAGGTCCTCTTTAGATTGTCTTGCAATGTTTTCTAAATTCGTAATAAGCTCTTGTTTTTCAGTGTCGATCTTCATGTCGGCTTTCTTTCTTGACAAATTTAAGCCTACAAGAGCCTCTTCTTTCTTTAGTTCGATGTTTTCAAATCGTTTTGTAGTGTTTTCTAAACCCCGATTTATATCTGCAAGATCTTTTGTACTGAATAATGTGTCGATGTCATCAGGAATAGAATGGACATTTATACATGATCTGTTAGAAATAAAATTCAAGTACATGTATTATAGTATGAATTAAATAAAATAAAATAAGAAAAAAAATATGATATTCACATTGTAATATTTATGTCTTACTTGTTAAATGTAGTGTTTTTTATTATTTCTTTAAAGCTACTCTTCAACAAAAAAAAACGGGTCTAAAAACAACAAAATGTTTTTGTACAGTTATTTAATATGCGCAGAAGTAAAATTTGCAGTTTCTATAAAATAACTGTGACCAGCTAGTGACCTAACATTTGTTATATTTCACTTGACACGGGTAGAAACACCTCTATTATCACACCCGGATTACCAAGATATGTTATTCTTTTTGTCTCTTTTCATGTACATAATTTTCAATGATATATTGTGCAGCCAAGCGGACAACTCTTCTGGTCCACTGATCTGCTTGCAGTGTTTACAGTTTTAAGTAAATACATGTATTTACAAAATAAAACGGTTTGATTTTAACGTTACAGCGGTTAAAAATTACATCAAGATAAATATTGTACTTTATACTTAGATGTATTTTCGTAGGACAAGACATGTTTCAATCATCTAGTTCCATATAAATGTAAGTGCCTGTGGTGAAATTTTATTTTTTGATAACATTATAATAATTATTTCAAAAACGATCATACCACAAAGTGTTTGATAGTAGGACGAATGAATTACAAAAACAAGTACAGATAAGAATCATTGTCATATTTCAAACTGTGAAAAAAAAGTTATTAAATTTGGTGTAGGACAGGGAACTTTAACATCCTACGAAGACTTACGTCTTAGAACGCGGCCTCTTTGACACATTTGTTTTATGTATAAATAAAATATAAAAAAGTATGATATCAGAATACGTAAACGTAATAAAACAAAGGCTATAAATATAAAATCAACTGCACTCACACCCCGAAATGAATAAAACAAATAGACCCATATCAGGGCATGCATTGTTTTGTTATTTTCCTTGATGATAATGGTGTGACTGCATTCATATCGGCACGTTTATTTGTTTATGATATCATTTCTCGAAAATCTTTTATCATTTTTAGATAATTATGATTGAATAGTTGAAATATTTGAGAGAAAAAAATCATCTTATCTTTTAACAGTGCACTTGTTACAATATATTTAAAACAAAATGTCTAGAGTTATTTTCATATGACAACAGATAACTACGAACAACATTTTATAACATTTACATTTTTCAGTCATCAGTTCTTTACACATGTTTTTTCAAATTTGTTTAAGTATGCTTAGGACATGATGATTTTTAACGAATAAGTAAAGCTGCCAAATCAAACAAAAAGGTTTACACATCAATTTTCAAAATACCTGTGATTTAAAGCCATGCATGTTGTACAGCCCACCTCATCATGGTCTTTGCAATACATATCAACTAACTTGATGCTATGAATAGAACATCTCTGCGTCGGCAATGTGATTGATGATCCCTCTACTTTACCAGTTGATGGGTCAAGCAGTGTGTGACTTTTCAAAGCAGGAAATCGTAAGTGCGTGTCCACGCAAGACTGACAGCAGTAAACTTGACATTCAACACAGTATTTAACAGCAACTTTGTCAGTGCAAGTAAAACAATGAAAATCTGAACATTCATCCGAGGCCACTTCACTATCGCCAGTCGCCATTTTGATAGTTACTTCCTCTTTCGTAGTTTTAGAAAATCTAAATAGGAATTAAAAAAATATGATATTCACATATAATTCACATTGTAATATTTATTTTTTGTCCATTTTATGAACATAATTCTCTACGATGCATTGAGCAGCCAAAAGCACAACTCTTCTACCACACAGATCTGCTTGCAGTGTTTACAGTTTAACTAAATAAATGCATTTACAAAATAAAACGGTTTGATTTAAACGTTACAGCGGTTTAAAATTACATCAAGATAAATATTGCAAATACTTTACTTAGATGTATTTTCGTCGGACAAGACAGGTTTTTATCATCTAGTTCCAGATAAATGTAAGTGCCTGTGGTGAAATTTTATCTTTTGATGACATTATAATTATTTTTTCAAAAACAATCATACCACAAAGTGTGGGCTAGTAGGACGAATGAATTACAAAAAAAGTACTGATAAGAATCATTATGTGAAAAAAAAATGTTATTCAATTTGGTGTAGGATAGGGAACTTTAAAATCCTACGAAGACTTACGTCTTAGAACGCAGCCTCTTTGACACATGTGTTTTATGTATAAATAAAATATAAAATAAGTATGATATCAGAATACGTAAACGTAATAAAAACAATGGCTATAAATATAAAATCAACTGCACTCACATGCCGGAATGAATAAAACAAATAGACCCATATCAGGGCATGCATTGTTTTGTTATTTTCCTTGATGGTAATGGTGTGACTGCATTCATATCGGCACGTTTATTTGTTTATGATATCATTTCTAGTAGATCTTTTATCATTTTTAGATAATTATGATTAAATAGTTGAAATATTTGAGAGAAAAAATCATCTTATCTTTTAACAGTGCACTTGTTACAATATATTTAAAACAAAATGTCTAGAATTATTTTCATATGACAACAGATAACTACGAACAACATTTTACAACATTTACATTTTTCAGTCATCAGTTCTTTACACATGTTTTTTTTTTCAAATTTGTATAAGTATGCTTAGGACATGATGATTTTTAACGAATAATTAAAGCTGCCAAATCAAACGAAAAGGTTTATACACCAATTGTCAAAATACCTGTGTTTTAAAGCCATGCATGTTATACAGCCCACCTCATCGTGGTCTTTGCAATACATATCAAAAAATTTGATGGTGTTAATAGAACATCTCTGCGTCGGCAATGTGATTGATGATCCCTTTACTTTACCAGTTGATGGGTCAAGTAGTGTGTGGCTTTTCAAAGCAGGAAATCGTGAATGCGTGTCAACGCAAGACTGACAGCAGTAACCTTGACATTCAACACAATATTTTACAGCAACTTTGTAAGTGCAAATAAAACAATGAAAATCTGAAAATTCATCCGAGGCCACTTCACTACCCCCAGTCGCCATTTTGATAGTTACTCCCTCTTTGGTATTTTTCTGTTAAACGAGACATTTAGTTCTCACAAAGTTATGTCATATGATAAATAACAGAGCAATATATGTCAAAATAGTATTAAAATATCATTCATAACTATACGGTTTATTTCACTTGTCAGTTGAAAAATGATTTTTTTAATCGTAATTTAAAACTCACTTTCGATTTCAACAACGCATGGTATAATAGTGTTCTGAACATTTAAAATAACGAATTTCTATGACTGAATACGTTATTTCGTACATATCAGTTCAATGTAACAAAGTATCTAATAATATAATATCCTTCATTTATCAGTCTTTTTCTCGGTATGACCGAAATGTAGCATTCCCTAACTTTAACAGAATAAGAACGGTATCAGAATAACTAAGCGTTGTACATTTTACAACTTTATCTGATGCTAGATAAAACACATTTTCTTCATACGCACGTTCAACTTTAGTGTTTGTTAAATCGGTCTGGTCCAATGAGATAGTTCATTTTTTCATTTTTTTAAATTCTTTGGTACATTTGATTTATTTAATCTAGCGTATTTTAAAACACCTGTTAAAATCGATTAATTCTTGTGAGGCGATAAAGCTTTTATTTGAATCAGGTTAACCTCTGGTTATAGCAGCTTATCTTGTTGGTCAACGGTTTATTTTTTAGACTTCTGATTGAATTATTTTGAATTTGTATTATTGAATTTGATAGGTTGTTTAGCTTCCTATATATAGATTATATTTCTTTTGCTCGCCTTTCTGTTACTTATTTTGTAGTTGTGATCACGTTTCAAGTCTTTTTGCCCACCCACCCTGGCCGATTTGGTTTTGCAATAAGTTTTATTGCAATTGGTAATATTAGTACTGCGTTTTGGTGAATATCTATAATGATTAATACTTATTTGTAGACTGATTAGTGTATCATTCTATAGTTTATTAGTGTTGACCAACTTTGCAGTTATATATAGTTATAATTGAATTTTTTTGGATTGGTTTTCGTTGTTACATTGTAAATGAACAATAATTTGTATTAAATTTTCATTAAATAATATCCCGTTAAATTACCAAATTGCATTCGCACTGTGTTAAGTTCAAACACGTAGTAATTACTGCTCACCTATATTAAATAACCTTAAGCACATGCTTTTTTTTAAATTATCAAATAAACCACATTTCGTCACCAAATAAGATTAAATCAAGATAGAAAAGGAATGGTTATTTGAACACTTCCTTGTCAGAATATCTGGAAAGCTATGACTAACATTATCGACCCAGAAATCAAGAATAAAACCTTAATTTAGCCGAGTACACCATTTATTTCCATTTGATTATACCATCACTCAGACTAAAATTTGCATTTTAAAACATTTAACTGTACTAACTAAAGCTAAATTTAGCATACATAATTAGTAAAACTAATGACATAATCAACAGTTGATTTAAATATACATAACGGATAATTATCATGCATAACATTTCAAAAATATCGATACTCCAAGTATGTTATTTTGATTGTACTACAATACTATTTGTGTAAGTGAGTGGAACGATTTGAGATAGTTGAATATCACTTCTAGTATCCTTGATGTCGATATTTTAAACGTATTTTTTGATATTGCTTCGACTACATTAAGATGAATAATTTTAACAATATCACTGTGCTGTGTTGTAAACAACCAATCAAGACAAAATGACGAAAGATTTTGGATGTCTTGCGATTTTTCGATCACATCACCAATCTTCTTGCCATCATAACCTACCTGTAAAATGTTATGTGAAGTATATCCACATACAAAATTGCTTCCACAACCTTTTGTACATGTTAAGAATGCATTTTTTTCCCGTCTACAACTACAATACCTCGCATAGAATCATTTAGATCTATTTCTTGGATACAGCTAAACAAACCATTGCCTGAGTTGTCTGTCTTAATCTTTTGTAATTCTTTGTCAGACATATCGTGTACGTATATACTTTGATCATTATAAGTGATATATAACTTCTCGTCTTTATAGCAAATTCCTAGACAATAACCTTTCTAGAAGGCGCCAGTCGTGTACCAACGGAAACAAACTGAATCTTTGACCCTTGAAATACAGTAAGGAACCCATTTAGAAAAAGGCTCACTTGACTGATTGTAATTGTAGAATTATCCTTAGTATCCTTATGTAGTTTATCATTTTGAATAGAAATTGCTGAAATGTTGACTTAAATAAGCTGGGACTTCACCTGAATGCATATTAAACATGTGGCATGGGGTTTTAAAGCCCACTCTATTTTTAACAATAGCCATTTGACAAAAGAAATTGGTCTTTAGCAAAACGTATGAGAGGAAGTAGACCATTTTTGAAGGCTCATTATGCCTCAGAAAAGCTTTTTTTTTCATTTCTCATAAGCTTCTTTATTTTTGATGTTCTTTATAATTTCCAAAAACTTACTAATTGGCCAATTATTACCTGAACCATCTTTTTCTTCAGTTTCTGTCAGGCAATTAGTACATTTATAGTGAAGAAGTATTTTGGATGAGTCAAAATTCTTCTTTGCATTCTGCTACTTGATGGCAAATAATTTTACATTTAGCGATACTTTCTTCAGTTAACAAGCAACTAACATGCTCTAAAACGTTATAAAGTAGAGAACATGAGATCCTTAAAGAACGCTCAAAACGACAAAATTGTAAATGTTGCAGACTCTGTTTGATTCTGCTTGCTCTTTCTAAAGAAGTAAATCGATTTTGAAACATAATGTGCCTTTAAACGTTTCAAAGAAGTTTATAGCTCTTTCATGCTCAACTATGAAAGGAAATCACACTCAGGACTCATTCAATGTTGACATCAAAATTGCACAAAAGCGATAAAAAATCGGTCTGTTTTTACACTGCCTCTGTGAAATTCGCAAGTTGAGAACATGAAATTGCCCGCTTATTGGGATGCTGTAATCGATTTTATTTCAACCAATTTACCAACGAGAGTGAGATTGACAAGAAGCTCCGTTGAGCGGCAAAACGTGATCTTTAGAAGAACTCAATAAGGTCTAGCATAACATTCTTTTTTGTTAAGGTTTTGTCTTTTATGGATAGTCGTACTTCCTACTGCACCAAACTCTTTTTAATCAGTTTCGACGAAATCCTTCCTTTTCATAATGTTTCGCGAGTAAAATGAGTATAATTTTCCTGACATATTGCTGTTCAAAATAATTGTAAAACTTTGATTTTTCAACCCGGAAAAGTGTGGTCTCTCAGAAGCAGTTATCACAACAAAATTACATGAAAACTGCATACTCGGTTTGATTGATCCCTTTGGATGCATTAATCACAAAAAAATTACATAAAAACCTGCAGACTCGGTTTTATTGAGACTGTACACGAGGGATAATGCAAAAGTGCTACATCCCTTACACTCCCTAGTATCAACTTGAGCTGGAAACAATGATCCCAAAGGATAAAAAAATATAACAACACTGAACTGAAGCATGAACGACTTTTAATTACAGCTGCCACACGGCCCTTGCCACCTGCTGTTGTTAAGTAGAAAAGTCTGGAAAAGTGTGAATCCTTAGAAGCATTTATCACAACAAAATTTACATGAAAACAGCAGACGCGGTTTGATTGAGTCTGTACATGAGGGATAATTAAGAAGTGCTACATCCCTTAAGTCCCCTAGTACCGCATTGAGTGGTACTCAATTTTCAACACACAAAAGTGCTGAAATAAATAATCCCGAAGTGTCACAATAGGGACTACGATGGGATACCAGGCCGACCACAATTGCTATCTAAAACAACCAACAACTCAGAACAGAAAAATATATACAAATTTATTTACAGAAATGAATATTAATAAATGAAAAATGATTGTATATGATAAACTACTATGATAAGTCACTGCACAAACAAACACTATCACCGTATCTCAGTCTATTTCTCCCGTAAAGTTTCTGTCATGATGTATCAATAAAGTGGTGGCGTTGTTGGACAAAATCCGTCACAATGGCGGGCGTCTTGTATAACATCTTATCAAGCGTAACTGTACTTCCTACAGTGTTGGCACAGTTGATAGGATCCTAAACAAGGGCATGCGTCACCCTTTAGCCATGGACATACGTGTGGAGGGCCCGTGTCATCTTCGGGTGTGTCCTCAAATAAGAAGCTACAAAGTATAAAACATGGTAAGTTCCATGATAATCAAACATAAGGGTATAATAAAGTCCCTTGGAAAAGACTCGACCTTTGTCGGTTTCCAATAAAATAACGTGCTTCTTTGAATAAACAAAATGTCCACTATAGTACACCATACATTCCGTGGAACAAAAATTCAATCACATCCGCATAATACTGCGTTTCAAATATATTCAAATATACGCCACATAATAACCACCAATAAATAAACGTCTTCCAAAATCATGCCACTGAAGATCCTTCTCTAGAGATACGTTAGTTTTGATACGTTGTATTTACTTATAACAAAAACTGATGATAAATGAAATGAAGTAAGATGATAACGCAAATTAAATTGATTGAAACAAATCATTACGATACTGCAGCATTTTACATAAAGTTACACAAATACGGTAGAACCATAATAAATTATTTATGAATAGATATATATATATATCTATAAAATATTCATAGCTCCTATACAATTACAATATAATTAAAACTTCAATTAACATACATCAATTAACATGTCTCGGTATAAATTTGCAATAGCGAAACACTAGAATAAAAAGAGCAAAAATTTAGCAAATTCAGAAAACAATAAATTACTGCCAAATAACTAAACCTGAATCAAATAAACTATAATTCTAATAGAAAATAGTATTTTACGAAATAGCAAAAATTTATGAAACAAAATCACTAGAAAATTAAATTTACCTTGTACAAGCTGTAATTTTATGACAAATATAATTTGTCTGTCACCGTCATAGTGACCTGTATAACGTCCAGTGCATTGCAATATGTCACTTAAAATTTAGTCAATATATAGCAAACTACTGAGTACTGAGCGGGAAAACAAATCGTGCAAAACATGAAAAATCGATTTGCACGAAATAAAGCTGGGACGGCGGGAAAAATAGTAATGTAAAATAAAGGCCCGTCCTTCAAATACAGACATAATACATATATCTGGTTCATAAAACAAAAATGTAACTTTCTTATTACTGAAAGGATTTTTGTGAAATAAACGGCAAAATGTTTAAATTGAGACAAGGAAATTTATGCAAACCATAAAAATACTCTAAATAATAATTTCACCCGAAAACTCTAAATTGAACAAAAGATGATGCAATCTCACAGCAATGAATATAGAGTAAAAATGAGGTTCGGCGTGCAATATTTTACAAACGTACTTTCACTTTGTGACACGAAGGAAAGAGAAATTTAACGACATTGAAGTGTAGTAGGGGCATCTCGGCAGAACCGTAAACAGTTACCCTCGAGCTAGGTATT